CTCACCAATTAAACCTGACTTCAAATTTAAAGCCCTCTTAAATACCCCTCCCTAAAATCTAAAGTCGAAAGTTGAATTGATTCATTATCTAGTTATCATAATATAATAATGCTGCATTCTTTTGTTAAAAACAATTATTTGGTATGTTTCATTTATTGAACTCACTGCTTTTAAAATTTACCAAAACCCAAGGCAATATATTTAGCTATATAAATACAATTTATTTATCTCGATTCCATTCTTCATCTTTTATGTTTATAGTTTGGCTCCTTGAAGCATTTTATGTTTTGCTTTTTTTATTATGAGTATTTTAAATCCGTTGTGATGTCTTTTAAATTTACTAAAAGCCAACATAAAAATTACGTTTTTGAACAACACCAAAAAGAACAGCTGCATCCCTACAGCAACTGCTGCAGTATCACAATAGGTTACCAAAAGCAGGTATACTGTTTTCCAGTTGTTGTTTTTTTTTTCATATATATCTACTTATCTATATAATACTATAGTACGATTGTTTATATCTCATTCATTTTTTCTTTTTCTTTAAGTGTCAATAATTTTATTCTTTGAATGAGATTAGTTAAACAAGTCGGCTTTCCAATTCAAGATATTGGTTTCAAAATTGAACACCATTGGCAAAATGGTAACAAAATTAGGTAGTTTTTAAAAATCTGTTTTCTATTTAATACACTTTTTTTTAAATATACTTTTTAAATATACTTTTTTAATATACTTTTCTATAACGATCATACTAATATGGAATCACGTAGCTTTCTAAATATGTTTAATTGTCGTCCCTATCCGTAATAAATATTTTAAATTATTTGATATGGTTTTCTTTACAATAGGCTATGCTTGGCTCCTCAGCGCTGTAAATGGTGGCTTCAACTTAGTTTTTTTAAGAAAAATGTGTTTTATATATGCCTCTGTTTTAAAATATTTTTGTTACATTATTAACTATATATCATGTAAATAAATTTCTTTTAAAGATATGTAAACTTGATACTTGCTTTTTTACGGATTTTCAAAAAGTGAACAAAGCTTTAAATATATTTTTTAACTGTCTTATATGATTTTATCAATTTTATTAAAGCTGAATAATTACTTCAAAAATATTGAGTAAAATCCAATTGCTTTTATTATTAACCTGATCTATACAAAAATTAATGAAATAAAAATAATTATTTAACGCCAAGTTAAGGCAAAATGTATTCCGGACATTTTATAAAATTAGTATAAATATGGATTGGATGTATGCTGAAATAAATATGTTGATACACGTTAGCTATTAAAGTAAATCCATATATTCCTTTATTATTTTTTTATAAACAAGTTTCTGCTGGATTACTAATTAAAAAAAGGTTGGTTTAATAATAATCTTTATCATAATAATATAGGATCCGTATGCAGGGCTAAGCCCTTTTTGGAAATGCGATATATTTTTCAACTTATAGTTTTTCCGGATATCCAACTTCTATGCCTACAAGTTTTGGTGTAATATTTTAGATGTTTTAAAAATATTTAAAAAGTATATTAATAATATTGAAAAGTTTAGGTGCGATAGTGACATATTTTTAAGCTCTTCACTCAGTAAAATAAAAAGTTTAAAAAAAAAGAAACGACTCAGCTTAAAGCAAAATTGAGAGTAGAATATATTCCCAATATTTACCTAAACAATTTTACGGAAATTGAAAATTTGACATCGATGTTCTGTGCATATAATTCAAGTCATTTTCAATTACTACATGGTTGTGATTTGCGCATTCAATGTCTGAACATTGCAAAAGAAATGGTTAACTTTATCTTTAATGAAGCTAAAAGTTCTCTTAAACTAAGAAGCCAAGAAAAATAAAAGTGAGCTCAACTAAAAAAATGTATAAATAAATTTATATTTCATTAGAGAGAGTAAATAAAGATCAAATTGTTAGTAATTTTTTATTTACTACTAACCCGTATTACGGGTTGCTTACTGTATAAATAAATTTATATTTTATTAGAGAAAGTAAATAAATATCAAATTTTTAGTAATGATTTATCTACTACTAACCCGTATTACGGGTTGCTTACTGCTAGTCTACCATGGTTAATTCTAATATATGTTGTACTGTTGAACAATTTGATAAAACTGCTAACTCAAGTTTTTGACTTTCAATGAACTGTTCCCTCTGCTTTGATGGCTTCATTTGTTTATTTTACATATCTAAACTTTATTGGTTTACAAAACATTGTTGAAGAAGGACGAGGATTATGCCAGATTATTTTTTTTCTGTACCAATAAATTCACTCAAATGGAACAAAGCAGGTAATAAACAGGCTTCCTTCAATAATAAGATTGCGTACATCTTGATCTGGCGCAAATTGTTTGTATATTGCCTTACCTGTTGCACCATCAAAACCAACTTCTGACCTTAAAGTTAAACTTAATACACAACTTTGTGAAAAAGCAATACTTTGTAAAGAGACCAATCTTAATGCAGTATGATTTATAAGACTCTGCATATTAACTGATGCTGAATAACTGTCAACATCCCAAGTTTCTATTTCCGAATAGCATCGTTTTTTAGATTCTTTAACATTATTATATGCTGGATACATGTTATTGTGGCCTTTAATTGCTGCTGCAGATCTTACAAGTTGATATGCATTTTCAGTCAGCCCACAAGCTAAAACTAAAGCAAGCACTTCATCAGCTGAAAATGTTTTTGCGCCTGGTAAACTTCCTGTTTTTTTACATTTTTTACTTGCATCAAATAATAATTCTTCTGGTGCATTTTCTTTCACCAAACTACTTATTCTTCTTTGTTTTGTTTCAATTGATGCTTTATTGAAATTAATTTTTGGTCTTCGGTCTTTTTTTAACTTTTTAATTTTTGCATATAAGTCTTTTATCTAATCAGGAGCTAAATTTCTTTTCACAGAAGAAAAATTATTTCTTTTATATATATTTCATTTTCTTTTATACAGCACAATAAATCGATCCAATTTTAAACTATTACCACCAATATATGTACTTAAAATATTACTGATATCTTTAGATAAAATACTCAAATTGTTTTTTCTTATATAATGGTGTAATTCACATTTTTTCATTTTCTAAAATAAAAACTAGACTATATATTTCATAAATATTTTGTACATGAATATATATAAGAGTTACTATACTAAAAAACAATATAACTACCTTTAAAGCATTGCATAATTTTTATAAACTTATCAGCAATGATAATGGTTTTTTCAAGTGAGGCAATGGATAAAAAAATAAGAAATAAAAAAACAAGAAATATAAGTATAAAATATACTGTACACAGTACAAATAAACACTACAACTATCATAAAAAGGTTGTTGCTATGCAAAAATAGGTATCCATAGAAACCAAATGAAAAAAATACTACTTTCATAAGTATCATTGACTTCATATAAATACGCATAACAAGTATAGTGAAAATAGCATATATAAAAACCTGCAACTCCCACAAATAACTTGTTGCTATGGAAAAAAAAAATTTATTTGGTTGTTATGGATAACTTATCCATAATAACCAAACAAAAAAAAATACCTTCATAAAAAACCCAGACATCATATTAGTACTTGTGCCAAACTTGATGAATATAGCACTAATAATAAATTAGTTATTAGCTTTGTCTCAAAATTTGCCATTCTGGCCCACTGTAGATTGATCCCTTTTTTACTTTGCTTTTCTGTGGTTTGAAATTTCTTAAATTAAATAACAATTACATATTCAATAACTTTTGATAATACCTGATATTAAATAACTTTTTTGACATTTCAAAATTTTAGATAGGTTTTTCAAAGTTTTTTAGGTTATGGTTCGGTTTTTGTTTTATTTTAATAATTAGATTGGTTCAGTTCTATGCGCTTGTTAAATAGTTTTGAAAGTATTGATGACAGCTTCTGAACACAGCAGTGTTCTAGAAAAAAAAAATTATAGTTTTCAATAAAAAAGTGATAAAAATGTCATCATAAAAATGATGACCATTTTGTTAATGGTCATCATTTTTATGATGACCATTAACAAAAAGAGTTAAAATCATCTCCCTATTTTTTATCAATAGTGAGTCAACTATAGCAATAATTGGAGCATGGTGTATGAGTGAGACTATAATTATTACATGGCGTGTAAATGAGACTTCAATGTTAATTCTTAATTTTAAAGAAAAAAGTTATCATTTTAGCATCAATCGATATTAGTTAGCTTTAAAAAATATGCATATTAAAATATGCATATTCATTGCAACTACAGAAATCTCAAAAGTTCTAGCTAGTCTGGGTGGTAGTGAAAAATCTTCAAAAAAATTAGGTCCATGCCCCTTTGCTTATGTCTTCTGAAAGATCAATGAATATAGAATGATGTGTAAAAAATTTTATTTGGTATCTTCAAGGCCACATGAGTTTCTTGGGCATTCAAAACACGTGTATAAAAAATTGCCTAAATTTATTTAAATTGATAAATACGGGTAACTTAATAATAATTTTTTATATTTCTGATCATTTTATTGGATATGTTATTAAAACACAAACTTTGCAATAAATTTTTTCTGATATTACTTTTTTATCTTATTAACATTTGGATGTATGCATGTGTAAAAAAATAAAAAAAAAATCAGGAAGAGGCAGGTCTCAAATCTTAGACATTCCGCTTACAAAGTCAACACCTAATCCAAATAAGCTAAACGCCCGTAGGAGAAAAATTAATATACTTATTTTAAAAACTATTATTTTTCTTTCCATATAAAAAATAAACTTAATTAAAATTAACTAAATTAATTGACTTATTGCAAAACTAATTATTGAATATTGTGTTGTCATCAAGCAAGAGTATGTATGCAAAATTTGAAGAAAATCTATCATCAGGAAATCACTCAAAAATTGATTGCAAGATTTGATGCTCACAGACAGACAGAGAGGAGGAGTTAATTAAATTATTGGGAAAAATTGTATTAAACATGTATACAATTTTATTGTCAAATGTACACTTACTATTTTGTTTCTCAACATCATAAACAGACTGATTCTTCATTGGAGAATAGGATAACAAACCCTGCCTAATATAATCTTTTTTTTCAATGTAAAATACATCTTCCTTTTTTGCAGTATAAACACTTCCATTTACTTCATTGTTTTGATTTACAGCATAACTTCTGTAGCTGTCTACCATGTCAATATTGTCTGTGTCATCATCTTCATTAAAAATGCTACTACGATCAGAGTCAGCATCACTAGGAGTACGAGGTAAACCATTGCCATTTTCTTCATCACTATTAAACTCATCATCAACATAAATAAACATAGATGATCCTGGATTGTTATTTTCTGGCTTAACAGAATGAGACATTGTTATAACCTAAATTTAAAGAAAAACAAACTATTTGACTAAACAAAAGAATGTAGTAAAGGATAAAGATTAAATAACACTAAAACTGTAATAATATATACATATATATATATATATATATATATATATATATATATATATATATATATATATATATATATATATATATATATATATATATATATATATATATATATATATATATATATATATATATATATATATATATATATATATATATATATATATATATATATATATATTAAAACAAACTTTTTTGAAATGTCTGCTCAACCCTTTAATAATAAAAAATATTGGAACTATTATTTTATTATATTATAATAAAAAATCTTTCGATAATAAAAAATATTGAAACTATTATTATATTATAGTAATAAATTTTTGTAAAAAATATAATACTACGGGTAGCTCAAGGCTCTTAAACATTAAAAGTATATCATGTTGGGTCAAAAAAGCAAAATTATATACAAATTTTAAAAATAATCATTATTTTATAAAAAACAAAAAAAATTATAATAAAATTTCTATAAATGCATATTTTCATTTTTAGTTTTAAAATGTCATTTTCTAGATGAAATCTAAAATAATAATTTTTTCATAAAATATTGATTAACATTAACATTACCAAATAGCAAACAACCAACTTTCACTAAGGAACCAACAGCAACTCTCTTGGTAAGTATAAACGCATGTTGTGAGGCAACTTTGCACTACATTGTACATTTAATGATTGCAGTTCACAAAACCTGCTTAATCCAAACTTGATTTCCAGATCTTCATGTTTAAAAAGCTAGTGCTCTTCTTTAAGGGTCAAAAGAAGATAAAAAATTTGGACCTTAATCTTATTTCCATTTGTATTTACTGGAACAAAGTCTTTAACATTTGGAGACAGTAGCCATCATCAGAGTAAAACTTTATGACAATAATTTCTGTTTTAATCAAAACAGAATTATTGAAACTAGGTAATTGGATCTAGTATCAATAATTCTGTTTTGATTAAAACAGAAATTATATTCATAAAGTTTTACTCTGATGATGACAACTGTCTCCAAATGTTAAAGACTTTGTTCCAGTAAATACAAATGGCAACAAGTTGCTCACCAAAGAAAATGCTCTCAACCATTTTCTTTGTGGAGTGACTTGTTCAGCAACAAGACCTAGACTTAATAAATTCAACCAACTTTTTTTGTTGTAAGCTGATGTTCAATGATTATTACAAAATTATTTTGCAAATATTTTTTACAGTAAAGATTGTAACAAAAAAAATGGTAATACGGTTAAAATCATAAAAAAATGCTATAATCAACTTTTCCTGAGTGCCTTTAATAGTTTTTTTAAAGGCACTCAAGAAAAGTTGATTTATACACTTTTAAACATAAACTAATATTATATATAACTAATATTAGATGATGTCATAGGACAATGTGTTTTCAAGTAATTTTAAGTTGATCTTTTTTTTTTTAAATGATCAAAAACATGAATAACAAAATGCATTGTATTCCATTCACTAAAATAAATTACAATAATTTGAATTTTATGTTATTTGAAAAGTAACTCAAATAAAAGAGATCTGTAACTAGAAAAAAAAGAATAGAATTACAGAGCAAGGAAACAGTTGACAGAAGACTTGAAAAATTGTATGTTCCAATTATTTAGTATAATATTCCATTATATAGTCAAAAATCAAGCTGCATATTTACAGCATCTAAAATGCCATTACCAAGTAATTTATTATAAATTATATTTTACATAAAATGTAAAAGTATTTATATCATTTCAGATCCTTTGTAACACAATACAAACTCAGTTCATTGCTTCATTTAAGAAGTAGTAAAACAAAGGAGTTGTTGCCTTACTTTACCCATTGCATTTATTTTAGGTTCACAATACAAAAAATTATAAAAACATATCTAACTTATGTCACCATGAACTAGATCATTAAGTATGTCTAGAATGGCATTTTTTCGCTACATCGCACTGAAAGAGTGCTTGCTCTGTCAAAAGACTTGTTGCTAAGGCTAGTTTACAATCACTTACAGATCCTATCAATTCACCTGAGAAAATGTATGATTGGTGTAGACAAAATATCAAAGGAATATATTTTCAATACATTTCAAATGATGCAATTGTATTACATTGCATAAAGTTTAAATTAGAAGAATGCTATGCTACTTGTTCGACAATTCCAGGAACAAAATCCACCATTGTTTTATACCACAATCATTATTTACTTTACAGATGAGACAGGTGTCATTTGACAATATGTATACTAATGTAAAAGTACCTAAAATGCAGTATATAGTTTCACTTACTTCTTTTTTACCAGGAATCAATATACCATGTGTTTATGATGCATAATGGTTTTTAGGAAATATTGTTGAAATATCTAAAGAAAATCAAGATGTTTTTATCAAGTTAATAACGCAGTCTATTTCCTTTAACTTGGCCACATAAATAAGACACTTGCTGCGTTCTAATAACGCACATTTTATGCAAAATTTTATTTTTAAAAGTTCAATCAACAACTGGTAAATGGTATGAACTATCAGCTCAAGAAAAAACTTCATCTGTTTACCTACCTTTTATATTATTATATTTATTTCATTTATCAATCATTTCAGCTCAAGAAAAAATTGAATTATTTCATTGTACAATAGCATAAGTAACATAAATACACCATGTAAGGATAAGTGTTCAATTACAATTTTTTTCTAAGTTCTGGGAAAAAATGCGAATGTTAAAAAATAAATAATCGGGGGAGGGGGTAGGAAAGAGCTAGGTCTATTTAAAACTGAGTTTAATTCAGGCTTAATTAAAGACTTATTTCTAGTACTGATTATGAAATACTTTTAAATTCATACATACTTTGTATTACAATACATAAAACAAACTAAAATACAACAATAACTTTATTTTTATTGTTTTTAATAGATGGTTCAGAAGTTAAAAGTGCTAATTCTTGTAACACGGATAAAAATTCTTCAGATAAAGGTTCTTGTTTTTAATCTTATCAGTAAATTTCTAAAAATTTAGAAGCCTACCATATATAGAAACTAAAAAAATATTTATTTTCACTTCTTAAACTGCAGGTTTTGTATATTGACTCATCAAAAATCAACTTTTTATACTTGCAAACAATTTTATCGGTTTATTAGGTAGCCATTATGAAAAAAATGTGACATTCAAGAATTCAATGTCAAAGTTTTATTAAAGTCTAGAGTTGTATACAATGAAAAAAACTTGAAGGTTTTCTAAATATTTGTTTTTAAAATTTAAAGCTTCAAAATATGAACTAAACATGTTTTTGCTACTGAAGCATTTATTTTTGGAAAAATCAGAAATTTTGAATGACCATATCTCTTAAACCACAAAAGAATTTATGCTGAAATTTTCAGGAATTGCTTTTCTCATTGATATTAACAAATTTACTAAGTTTCATCAAAATCTGAGGGAGTCCATGTTGAAATCCCAAAATTTTGGTCCATTTGGCATGGAATGACACTGATGTCTTACTTATTATGCAAGTGTCTCTCCCCCCCCCCCCCTTCCATCTATTTATATGTCAATTTGATGAAAATAGACTATTTAAAACTAATAATGGCAAAAAAAACAAAAGAAACCACTGATGAACAATCAAGCCTTTTTAATAGCACACCAAAAACCTCATCATTTTGGGGAGATTGATAAAATGGAGCAAACTGCTCTCTTATGATACATTCCTGGATAACATTCCTAAGCATTTCTTCATAATATGCTGACCTCAGTATTGAAACATCTAAACTTCTTGATTTGCCAAGCATTGCAGATGATGGTATTTTATAAAAGAAAAGTGATGGAGAAAGAAAAGAAAATCTTATCACTTTTAAAACCAAAGTGATGATAGTTTAAAACAAAAAATCAACCAAAAAAATGGTGGTGAAAAGAAAATCTAGAAAATAGTGGAGAAAAACCTAAATTGACTAAATTTGTAACACCACTACTGCAGCCTTTAGAGTTTGGCATCAGGTTGACAAAATGAATTTGACACAAAGAAGTTACCATAAAACATAGAAACGAGGTTGCAAATTTTTTGATAACCTCAAACACTTTAAGATCAGTTAGGTCAGCATCGCCTAATGCCAACCCTAATTCTGAGGGCTGCTACTGAGATAAAGAAGAAAAACTTAAAACCAATAAAAAATTAAAAAATATTTTTTTAACAATAATCTAAAATGCAGATTTTTTTTTTTTTTTTTTTGACAAACTCCCTCCACATTTAATTGAGTGACTTTTTAGGATATTTTCACTCCCAGACTAATTAATTTAATTTTCAGCAAAGCACCCTCATATGACATAAGAAAAAACATACAAAGATTGTGAGTTAAAAACTTTTCTGAAACTTTATGGGAATCATATTTGAAAAAAATTCTTGATCTGACTGCATTTTTCCTTTGTGTATTCCTGTTTATTAAAACTTTATTTTTACTACTTATTTGTAAAACTAATAGCAACACAACACACACACACACACACACACACACACACACACTCACATATATATATATATATATCATATTTATAATACTTCATATATATGATATACAATATTTACCATAGTCATATTACTCCGATTATGAATGATCTTTTACGGTAAAAACAATTGTTATGATTTTAACCATATTACCTTTCTTTTTTTGTTACAATTTTTACCATTTTTACTGTAAAAAATATTTGCAAAATAATTTTGTAATAATTATTAAAAATCAGCTTTCAACAACAGCAAAGTAAGTTTCATTAAAAAATTATTGGAATGCCAACAATGACTGATACAAAAAAATTTAGCCTTAAAAATGATCTTAAATTGTTGTAAATTGAATTTACAAACATGCAAGTTCTCTGAATTCAGACTAGCATGTGATACCTGAACTTTTAAAGATTTAAAAACTAAAATAAATAAAAAACAAAACAGCGAATCCGAAAAAATTATTTTGTTACTGAATAAAAAGTTTTTGAAAAATTTTAAAAATTCTAAAAGATATTTTTTAAAAAATATTACCTGCATAGGCTCACCATCATTTGCTTTTTCTAAAGATAACTTAATCACAAGATTATTGTGAACAATAGAACTTTTTTGCTGTGATGTAATTTTTTGATCTTTTGAATAATTGTGGGAGAATACAGTTTTAAAACGATTAATAAATGAGATATTTCTTTTACTAGCAATAGTTGGTTTAATTTCTTTGACTTCTTTTCTATCAATGATATCGTAGGCTGCTAAAATATCTTCAGGAAAAACTGGATGATTATGTCGAACATCTGCTGCTAAACGTACACCTTTTCTCCTTCTAAATGGAGATGAAGCTCTGGTTTTTTCAGAAGATTGATTTTCTACTAAATCATTTTTACTATCAACAGTATTTCCATTTTTAACTTTTCCCTCATTAACTTCAGATTCAGAGATTATGCTGATTTCTGCTGTATTCTGCATAATAAGTGATTTTTTAACGACTGATAATCTATGTTTCGGAATTTCAAGACATTTAAACTCAACTTGCTCATTTTTATCCGTGTTACAAGAACCTTTATCAGAAGAATTTTTATCCGTGTTACAAGAATTAGCACTTTTAACTTCTGAACCATCTTCTGCATTTGGTAATACAGACAAATGGCTATTCTGATATTTCATATCTTGGACTGGATTAAACTTTTCAACTAATATATCATCGTCATGATTTAAAGAACTATTGTCAATTTTACTATCTGATAGTTCTGTTAAACTATTCAACTTGTTGAGTTCTGAATTACAAAGTTCAATACAATTTTTTTGGGTCTTAAATATTATATCCTCTTCGATTTTTTCTTTTATAAATGATTTTCTAGTATTGTTAAATAAATCTAAATATAAAAAATTTGTTTAATATGAAAAAAAAAAAATGATAACAAAACTTACAATACAAAAACATTTGTTACATTTTACCATAATTAGGGCTCGTCAAAGTCTCATCAGAAGGTTTATTTGTTGGTAAATCAAAATTTTTATCTTCATCATTATAAGAAATTCTGATATCATTCATAAACCCATAAATATCAAGCGAAGGTTGCTCACTTTTTTTAACTTCAATTATTAAGTCATCATTATTATCCATTTGATCAATCTGATAGCAAAAAAAAATTGACTTTTAATACCTATGTAAGTATAAATATATTCAACAAATTTGTGTATCTCACTGTTTTTATATATATATATATATATATATATATATATATATATATATATATATATATATATATATATATATATATATATATATATACATATATATATATATATATATATATATATATATATATATATATATATACATATATATATATATATATATATATATATATATATATATATATATATATATATATACATATTAGTGATGTACCAATGACAAATGCTGATTGTGACTAATAATAGGTTTAATTTTTTTAAGGGTATTATTGAGATTTAAAAAAAATAGCGCCCTGTAATGCACCTCACCATTTATAAAGCAAAACACTGACTTTGAGTATAGACTCGCCCAAAATATTAAATAAGAATCTCAATTATTCTAATTATACAAAGAGTAAAACCAAGTCAACTGTTTAAGCTTAAATATTGCTGGAAAATGGCGTTAAAATTGATTCAACTACTGGAATATCAAAAAAATTCAATAAGAAATATATCTATTTCAAAGAATGTTGTTATTGTACCAGTATCTGAAAGTATTTTTAACAAACCTGGTACTGGTAGTATTTATGATTGGATCTTAATAAGTTATTTGAAATTGTGACATATATTGCATCAATTTCACTAATTTGTGGAATTGTTGAAGCTCTTTTTTTGCTGCAAGATGTGAGTATGAGAGTGTTGTACAAGATTTGAGATAAGATGTACAAGTTATAAACTTGAATTAAATCTATAAATTGTTTTAAGGCACTTTAGTAAATTTATCAATTGTTCATCCCAGTTAAGTTTTTTGTTTATTAGGATACCCTATTTAAAATATGTAAATCAAGCAGGTGACAATTTACAATATTTAAGATAATGTTTATGTATACTTGTTATTTTGTAAATCACCTTATGATGCTTTGGTTCCAGATAACTAAAAAAGTGATTATGTGACTCCATTATTTAAAAGTAGTAAGATCAAATGTAGAAAACTACAGACTTGTTTTTTTTTTTGAACCGCAGATGCCTTGAAATAAACAATAGTAAATTAAATTTACTATATATCCTTAAATTTTAATGTAATACTCTTAAATGTATATTTCTATTTGATATAGTAAAATATATATATATATATATATATATATATATATATATATATATATATATATATATATATATATATATATATATATATATATATATATATACATATGGAGTTACTATAAAACATAGGAATAAGGATGTAAGGATGTTTTAATATAAATTATATTAAAAGGTTTTAATGATATTTGATGATTAATGAAATCCATTTGTGTCTAATGATGATTGATATTTAATAAATTCTAATTTTTAAATTTTTATTATGATTCACTTCCAACAAGGCTACAAGCAACCTCTATCAAGTTGAGAGTTACAAGGAAAAAAAAGAATAGAGTTTATAAAAGAAGACTTAAAAAGTTGAAGGTTGTATAAGTCATGAAAACATGAAGATGGGAGAGAGTTCCAAAGGGTTGAGGTGCCGGGCAAAAAAACTAGATAAATAAAAGTTTTTTGAACATGCAGGGACAGATACAGTAAAAGAATGAGGCTTTGATGAATCACGAGTCAAGCGAGAATGAGTTTTGGTTGATGGGTTTATAGATAAAAGCTCCTTTGAGCAGCGGCCATAATAGTGTTTGTAGAAAAGAGAAAGAGATGCAACTTTACGACGATGGGAAAGAGGCTTAAGCTTAGCAGATAGACCAGGTCCAACTACGTTTACAATGTGTTTTTGGACCTTGTCTAGAAGAGAAAGAGCATCAATAGAAGAGACAGCCCAAATTCAACAACAGTATTCCATACAGAAATGAATAAGAGATTTGTGGAGATAGAGAATGGAATCTGGAAAGAGAAAATGACAAGCACAATATAGAGAAGCAATCTTAGCAGATGCTAATTTAGCAATTGATTGTATATATCGTTTCCATGAAACATCAGTAGTAAACAATAATCGAAAAAGACATAAAGAAGAGGACTAAGCAAGAGAGTTGTTGGGTTGTCCAATTGTAAAATGTGATGCTTTTACTTGTTCTGATGATTGTGATAAAAAAGTTTGTTATAAATGCAAATGTACAAAATAGTATAAAATACCATTTTTTAAAGTTAAGTTTATATATTTTGAAAGAAAAAAAGTTTAAAATGTAAGCAAGCTTCAAACCAGCAAAATTTTGTTGAAAAAAGCTAAAGTCTGATGATATAAACTATCAAAAAAAAACTATCAAAAAAAAGTGATTTCAATAGAAATGTTGACTGTAATCAATTTTAGTATTTTTTGACTTATTAAAAAGAGTAATACCCTTTCACATAGACACGAGGTCTCTTCATATATTGCAGCTGCAATCACTACAGCAATGAATATGATGTAGGATTAATAAAGTTTGCTGATAAAAAGTTAGATAATGAGCATAATAAAGATTTTGATAACAGCAAAAAAGATTTTTTTTTATCTTCGTGATGGAGAAGTGATTAAACTAAACAAATTATTGAACTTGTTTGGTTTAAATGTAAAATTTCAAGTAGCTGTGAAAGAAGAGCATTAACTGTATAAAATCTGAAGAAAATTATAAATTCTATTTTACTCTTTAGAAAGCAACTGAAACTTTTAAACATGCAGAGATAATAGCATTTAATATTATTGAATTGTTGACTGAGAAGGGAGATGAATCTTAGCAGGTGGTTGGTGGAGATTCTACAAATTTTAAATATTGGTTGGGAGAGTGGCGTTATTAAATACTTAGAAATAAAATTAGGAAAACACTTGCAAAGCTTATTTTTCAATTCCATAAATATTAGTATGCACCTTATGATAAAATGAGATGGTAAGAAGATTTTAAAAAATAGTTTATATGATGATTTGAAAATCATCATATAAACTATTTATAAAAATAGTATTTGAAGATTTTAAATGGTAAGAAGATTTTAAAAAATAATATATATATATATATATATATATATATATATATATATATATATATATATATATATATATATATATATATATATATATATATATATATATATATATATATATATGTATGTATGTATGTATTATATATATATATATATATATATATATATATATATATATATATATATACATATATATATATATATATATATATATATATATATATATATATATATATATATATACAATTATATATACAACTATATTTAATATATGTATATCAACAAGTAAAAAGAAAGAAATATATAAACAATAATTTAATAATAACCAATATAACAATAAATGCATAAATAGTAACACATCAACCATCTCTCTTAAGTTTTATCTATCAAAAACGTAGAAACATTTCAACTATTCCGACTATAATAACGCCAGAACTTTATATATTATAATTGCAATATCAAGTCGTTCAATTAAACAGTTACAAATAACATTTCACCCTTTATCTCAAAAAGTTATGTTTATTTTTGTATAATCCTTATTTATATTTCTAAAGTTTTTGTTTTGGTAGGTATTCAAAAATTTGCGACGCCTATACGACGTTTGTCGTGAAATTTAAAAAAAAGTAAAGTTGTGAAGGATTCAATAGCTAAGATTAATTGGTACTTTATTTTCAGGTAAAATAACTCGTTACTTTGTGATATTTAATAACTTTTTAACGATAAAAAACAAAAATGTTGACGTAATGAAGTTACATTACTAACATAATTTATGTTGATTTTCAGAATAACAAAACAAAATAATTAGTAGTTTAAGTACTAATTATTTTGTTTTGTTATTTTGTAGAAAGTTTTATTCAATGAAAATTGTCGACTCGAACCACATTAAAAAGACCTAGTCATAAAATATTCCGTTAAGACAAAGCCGCCATGTATAAATCAAAATAAAATTTTTCAGAATCAGTGAAACCCCCTGAGGATTTATTGTGTTTCTAATGTTTTATAGTTAATTGATTTTACCCATATAGTTTTAGTTTTGTTTATAGTTACATATAGTTTTCATATATTTTCATATTGCTATGATCTAATTTTCATAGTTTTGATTATAGTTTTCCATACAGCTCAGTGGCGTAGCAAGAAGGAGGGGGGGTAGGGCGTTCAAGGCGGGCTCATTATTAGGGGGCGGTGAATTTATTTTTTAAAACTGTAAAACTTATCTTTTTCACGACTACCTAAATACCATAATACAGTATTTGTTTTATTTTAAAAATTTTGTTTTAAAAATTTTGTTTAAAAAGCATCAGTTTTGTTTACATCAATTTAGTTGATCAAATGCTGTGGTACCGTTGGTTACATTGCAATCATTTTTGTTTTTTTGCTTTCTTGGATTGTGGGAATTGGTCTTTTGGAAAATAAATGATTCACTGGTCTACCTCCAAACATAAGGATTGAACATAAAACATGTTTTATTTTCAATCCTTTTGTTTGATATCACTTTGTTAGCAACGTGATATTAAACGAGAAACTTTGAAATTATTTTTACCAGAGAATATAGATCAGTTAGCTAATTAAGCTATCTTTTATGCAAAAAAATTTTGTGATAATTATAAAATTATGGATCGTCGGTGAAAAAAAAAAGAAATAGATAGTAGAGGAACAATAACAGATCATATTAACTAACTATGATGTTCATTTCACCTAAAAAACGATTTATTGAAAATCTTGTTTAAATTTAGACGACCAATTGTGATTTTAAGAAGATTTTTTTTTTAAAAAAAAGGTTTTTTCGCGACAAATATTTCTATTTTATGATACCGCAAAATTTATCTTTCTAATTTTTTTTTTTTCGCTTTTTCATAATTCACAGACATGATCATTTAACGGAAATATGCCGTAGTCAACAAAATATCATACAGACGCTATAATATTTTAAAATTGCCTTAACTACACTGAGTGATGGTCCAGATAAACTTTTGCAGTTCATTCTAAATTACAGTCTTGAAAACTCCTAATATAGTTTAGGGCAGTCCATTAATT